ATGTTGTTGGTTGTGTTTGCGTAACACTGTCGTCATCATCATCCCCCCCACCCCCCCACCCGCCCCAGAAGCAAGTCCAAAATCAACAGGCCGAGTTTGCAAACTCGCCAAGTCGATTTTGAGGCTTCTTATGATGATCGTACCTGACGAAAGTGCTGTAAATACCGAGTAAAAACGGATGTGCTCTTAAGATGGTTTAGAGCAAGTGTAGTTGGTAGGGGGCGACTACTACTACTACTACTACGACGACGACGACGACGACGACCACTATTACTACTGCTGTCGCAGCAAGGCATTTCTGCATTTGCCGGGGTTTCCGAGCGAGCGGTCCCAAGGGTGAAGAAATTCCTTGTGGCTCCCTGCACGCCAGGCAAAACGACCGCAGCTCGCTTTCGTGGCTCTGACGCCGCGGCCTCGGCCCGAGCCTGGGCAGGAAGTGCCGATGGAAGATGTTTGAAGGTTGAAGGATGTTGAAGGCATTCCGTGGATATGAGAATGCTGAGGTTTGTCGAGTCTCTTGCTGTGGTCACTAGCAAGCGTCCTGAGGGAGTTGGTCCAGGATCGGGATTTCCGGGGCTGCGCGATAGGCTGTGGGTCACAGAAGTTGACGATGACGTGCGCACAGCCGCACATCACAGTTCTCAAAGCCAAAACTACTTCGCCAGGCTTGGCCCAGTTGTGAGTGCTGAAAGCCAAAACCGAGGATGTGGCAAGCCACTCTTCCGCAGAGCAGGCAGCCTGCTGAAATCTTGTCCGGAGGACTCGCGGTGTTTTGCAGCTCCCGAAGGGCCAATGGCAGCTTGAGCATGTCTCTCCCGGAATGTGAGTTCAACAGCGATGCCAGTCGGCTTCGAAAGCGGGTTCCTGGTCCCTGCAGCTGGAGCTGCTTGAATCCTTGCGCATGCAGGACTGAGCGGCTTTTGCTGCTGCTGCTTTTGGGTTTGCAGACATGAGTTTTTGCCTACGCGGGCAAGGTGCCATCACGGAAAGACACGGTTCGCAACCCCTGGTCCAAGTGCCTAAGCTGCCCGAGATTCTAGAGCTTTGCCAGGAGATGGTACCGGACATGCACCCTGGCAGAAGCCTCGCCAAGAATGGGCACAAGAGTTACACCCCGGGTCGCCGCACCCAAACCCTGGTAATCACAGTCTCTTCTCCCGTGCCCGCACGTTGCTGCTTCAACATGCGAGCCCGAGTGGAGGCCGTGTCAGCGTGTGGCACAAACGAAAGATCGTGGCCAAGACTAGCTGTGGATTTCAATGCTTCTGGTGTTGCTGACTTGACAGTCTTGGAATTCCCTTCTTACGTGAGATGCTTCGGTTTCTTCTGTCCTGAGACTGGTCCCAGTTTCTCAACAGCATCCCGCCAAGAGGCATCTTATGTTTCTTTTTGGCTCGCCCTACCCGGTCCGGTGTGAGTGCTGAACTTACTAAGCGTGGAAGCGTCGAGGAAGTGCTGCGGCGCTGCCCTTGCTGCGGTCGGCCGTTCGGGCCCCTGGCCTCAAGCCATGCACCTCCTGAGGCGCTCATATCCGTTTCTTTCTCGATCTACCGGTCTAACATTCAACTTTCCCACTGTCTGCCGCTAATTAATTGCATCCTGGCAAGAAGCAGGATATGTTGCTGTATCATACAAGAAAACGCCACCATAGCATGCCCCTTTCTTTTCGCACATCTTGTTGCACGCGCCAAGTCATGTTTTATGTCTATCCGCTGTACTATGTTTGGTTATGCTGGTGCTCAGGTATGGTCATGGTATAGTATGCTAGCAGTGGATGGATGGATAGATGGACAGACGGACGGATGGATGGATGGATGGATGGATGCTTGCATGCGCGCATGTAGGAAAAGCCTTGCACGGCATGATATGTCGAGTAATTAATTTACTTCGAACGCTTTTGCTATTCATTATGCATGCCTCATGTCAACCCCCCTCGTCTATCGGCCCCGCAGATATCTCGCTGCGCGATCCCTTGCGCCAGAGCTGCATATTGGCACAGTGGAACCTCCACTAATTTTGATTGACTTGTGCAGCACATTGAGACAAGCCCTGGAAGCTGTTAGGAGCTCCGAGTTTCAAGCAGATTCTCACAGACACAGGAGAGCAGGGAAATCGTGCAAGCCATTGCGAGCCCACATGAGACATGGAAGTTGCGGCCCATCTGTGCTTCACCTGAGGAGTCGAACTCCGTAATGTGCACCGCCGCCCTTCGGGCATGTTCCACGGGCCAGTCCTGGCTTCCCGGTTCAGGCTGTGGTCAGCTTCGCACGATTGGCAGGCTAAGAGCCGCAAGTTGTGAGACCTTGTCGGACATCCGAGTCGCTCTGTCACCTGAAAGAGTAATTGGGCACCTTGTGTATCTTCACTCATCCCAAGCCTTTGAAAGCCTCTCCGTGTTGGGCAACGATAAGCAACTGCACGCAGGCTAGTCGGCTATCTATGTCTTAAGTTTTTGCTTTAAGTGGCTTCGCAAGAGCAGCAGTTGGATTCTGGAGTTCGGGGTGGAGGGCCCCTTCCTGGGAGGGTCTTGCGAAAAGGTTGCTTGCAGCCCAGCTTTTCCACGAGATGCAGCTCACCAACACAGCACCGGACGAGGTGACCTTCGGCTCCTCGGTTCAGCAAGGTTCCATGTGCTGTACCCAGAGTCCCAGAGACCAAAATGCACAGATCTCTTGCCATCTGCTGCCAGATGGCATTCTTCTGAGGTTCTCTCGCCTGCCAGGCTCAGACAGATGCTCGTTTTGGACTTTATCGAGTCGGGGCACGAAATGCTTGTGGCTTAGCCAATTGCTCATGACGGATAATTGGAAATTAACCCCCTTCTGTTGGCTAGTTTGCCTCGCCGGACAGAACAACTGTAGATCCCCTGGCTGGGCCCGAAGAATTCATAGCTTGCGAGATCTCAGGAGCCATCTTGGGCGCGTGTCGCATCCCTCCTTTGGCACGTGCGCATGGGCGGATTGCACGCAGCTTAGAGGTCTATGTCAAGCCTATAGCCTGCTTGAACAGGGCCAATGTTGGACGAGGCAAATGAACAAGTCGGGCAATCCACTCGTTCATGTTTCCTACTCAGTGAAGACGAGGCTGACGAATCTCGTATTGCAGAACACCGCCATCACCGCGTACCAGCGTTGTGGGCAGCTGATGCCTCATCAGGGCTGTGGGATGGGTGCAACCCAAGCACTTCCAATGCTCTACATGCGAAGTGAGTTCTCAGAGGCCAAGATGCCCATTCAACCGAGGTGGCGAAGAGCGCTGCTGCTACACTCGAGCATGTCAAGCAGAACCTTCCTTGTAGTTACATTGTTCTGTGTGATTTGGCAGTTGTTGCTCGCGTAGCTGTGAGTTCCGCATGACTCCGCATGTCCACCAGGCAAGCTACGTGCGTATAACTCTAGTCTTGCTGTATCATATGCCGGAATTGATCGAGCACTATGGAGTTGCGTTGAGGAGCGCTTCTGCCGGATGCAATCAGCCACAACAGCGCCATCAGTGCTTGCGATGAGGCTGGTTTTTGCTGCTTCATACAGCGAATAATCAAGTCTGATTTCGGGTGGGCTCAGAACTTGCCTGAGATTTGGTTGAGCTCAGATGGCGGCGTGGCAAGAACTTCCACAAGCGACGACAAGCTGTGCTTTGCCGTTGAGTGTTCCTAGCTCCCAACACACTCAAACTCTTGACCGCCTTCGGTCGTTGACTTATTCCGTCCGTGCATTGCCTCTAGACCGGAGGGCCATGCCAAAACGGACTGGTGAGTCCGCCCTCAGGGCTCTAAGTGGGAGCCTGCTCTCGTGATGCTGAAGTCCATGGGCCCTGTGCGACCAGATCAGCTCCGTGGCAATGTCTACGCACTTCGGATTGGGGCGGGGCATGCAGGGTGCAGCAGGAATCAGCAGGATTGGGTCCCGTGAAGTAGACAGCGAAGCTTTCACGATCACGGCCATCGGGCCCTTGCTTGATATATACATATATAGATGTATATATCTATTTCTATATCTATATATCTATATATATATATATATGCTGCTTGGACTTGGGCCCAGGTTTTCCTTCACAGCCGCGGGCGCGGCCTGCGGCCGGGCCGCGGCCTGGGCGGAGGCCCTGGTGCTGAGCGACGCGCGAAGGCGCGCCGTTCAAAGCTGTCCATGACGTGGTGCCTATGGGCTTTGTCCATAGCCGAGGTACCGCTTGCAGCTCTCTTCAATGAGCTCCTCGTCGATACTTTCGCTCGATCCTGTCATAGTGCCCACGGTTTAGACTGCTGGGGGCCAGGTACTGCTTATAAGCGTCTTGGAATTTGGATTTGCAGATGACCCGAGATGCAAGTCCTGCATAGGCTGCAGCGCGGCCATCAGTGCAGCTGCGAAGCAAAGCCACTGGCAGCTGCCGTTGAGTTTGCACCGCGTCACAAAGAAGAGGGGGCGGAACCTTCAGAGGCAGGCGTCCGAAGACCTCACCGTCTGACATCTGTGGATGTTGACACTTTGCTCAGGCTATGTGCCACTGCAAAGCCCAGTGGTGCCATGTACAGAGTCCGGGCAGCACTCAGATAGAGGGCCAGCAAGTCTGGCAGCTGCATGAGCGTTGAGTCGGGGCGAACAGCTACTGCATGAGCTGACATGCTGCACTAAGTAGGGTCCACAAGCCACGAGGAGCTGCTGTCGACGCATGCGATCGCGCGGGCTTTCCGCAGCATGCCCAGGCCTACGCAGTGACGCACAGTTCAGAAGCCCACGGTCTGCTTGAGGGCTGCTGGGTCAGGACGGGACCTTGACCTTCGTTGTGTGACACTGAGCGATCTGTGCTGGAAGGCAGTGCTTGTCGACTCCGAGCTGAACGGAGCATCAGGGGCGGCATTACGGGATACTCCCGCATGCATGTTTCGGAGTTCCACTTCAGCGGCTTGCACCCGCAAGCCTGGACGTCCTTAAATCGGACAAGCTTGCTTGTCATTCGCCTCGCCTGGATTGTCCGAGTGTGAGAGCCGAAATCGGACGAGCTTGTTCCCATACTTCGCATGCAGGCTGTTCATGGCTGTTCTGGCATCCATATAGACGACATGCAAGTCACAGGTCCACGGTGGTGGTGATTGTTCAAGTTCAAAGCCGTCGGCCAAGCACCTTTGCAAAGGCCCACAGTTCTCCCACATCCTTTTGTTGGGCGTTGGCCCGCCACCTGGTTGGCAAGCAGTTTCAAGCATTTCAGGAAGGGCGGAGTGACATGTCCAGCAGAACATTGCAGAGACGAGTCTTATAATCTACCAGAAGGGGCATAGGTGATGCACGCTGTGGCTGCTGTGGCTAGTGACCGAGACAACTTCGACAGACTGCACGCAGACCTTTTGTATCATTCGGTGCGACGATTATCAACAGCTTGACAAAGCCCTGGAATAGCTAATGCAGCTAATGCGAGAATTTAGCCGTGGATCAGGAGCTCGGGTGTGTTTACTCGTGGCCGTATATCCGTTCCGAAGCAGGACTTGGCGTTAACGACCCGGCTGTCATCCACGCTGCCCTGGCAGAAGCCTTCTCTGCTCAGAAGCAACATTTGCCGCGTGGGCTTGGCTAGTAGCTCTGTTGTTCCAGGTGCTCACAGAGATTAGGCCGACACTTTGAGTGAAGAGGCCGCGTTGTAGGGAGGGAGGCCTTCACATTTTCTCGTACATTCGGACTTTCTCTTTCGTTCTGAAAGGTCACCCAGTGGAACTACGAAATTCATGTGTCTAGCACCATCGAACCAAGAAGACAAAAAATCGGCATGGCTTGCAATTCAAAGTGCTGAGGTCAACACTTCATCAGGTAGGTCTCGCAGATCCCTACTAGGTCTTGACACCCGAGGTGCTGAAAATCCCGGCCAAGTTCGCACCTGTTTCACAGCGGAGTAGAGGAATAGCAGTACCCAGGAAAAGCAAGACCAAAGCGAAGGATGTGATTGTCATGGTGATGATGATGATGATGATGATGATGATGGGGAGGAGGAGCAGAATCACAACGAAAACATGTCGTCCTCACAGGTTCATCCGGAACTGCACCGTCTCCTATACGAGATTTCCTCACACGGCTTGTTGATGGAATTTCAGGGTCTTGTTACTGGCATGATGCCGGGGAAAGGCATTCTACAGGGAGGCAGTCATAGTGCACAGGTGTTCGCCATTCTGGTTGAACATATCTTTCGGGACCTTCATATCAGATGGGAACGGGAATTTCCGGGAGAGGTCGGGGCATGGGCGTTCATGGAGGGTGGCGGAGCGAGTCGTGCCATGGATTATTGAAGCTTTTGCGGATTATGGCCTACGTTGGAACTTGTCCCAAACTACGGTCATGTCTACATCCGATACGCTTCGATCAGGTCTTGGTTCCCTGCCCTAAAATCATGCCCTACGCGAGTGCACAT